CCCCAGACCAGGAATCTCTCAGCGATTGATCTTATCAGTGATGATCACCATCTTGTTAGAAACCTTGCTGTCATCTTCGATGAACACATGACTGTCAACAAACAGATCAGTGCGGTAGTCAAGTGAAGTTTTTATCCAGTCAGGGCTGTTTCCAGGCTGAAACTATTTTTAAACCGCTCCAACCTGGAAAAGTCACTCATGCCCTCATAAGCTCACCCATCAATCACTGCAATGCCCCGTGAGTTGGTTTATCCAAGTCCTCCATCGCTCGTCCAAATTTCTGCAGCCCGTCTCCTCGCCATCACACCTGGGAGCAGCCATATTACTCCCATTCTCTCAGAACTGCACTGGCTTCCTGTTTTCAGAATACACCATAATGTTCACGTTCACGAGCAACGACGGCCTCGGCCCTGCTTATCTCGCTGACTCATTGTCCAAACGTCGGCTAACACGGTCCACTAGGTCAACGTGGAAGTCCCTCGAATCGAGATACAAGCACCGGGGTGACCGCTCTCCAGTCGCAGCTACAACCTCCTCGATGACCTGCGTTTGACCTCTGAGTTGTCTTTGTTCAAGCACAAGCTCAAAACCGACCTTTCCCAGCAGGCTCTTCATCAGTAGCCATCCTCTGTTGGCTCTCTTTAGCTTAGCTATGTGACTCTAGTAGTCGTATTTACTCGTACGTTACTGTTTTATGAGTTTCTACTTGCGCTGGTTTTATTGTTATGTCCCGTAAAGCACTTTGGTCACCTTCCATGGGTGTGGAGAGAGCTCTACAGAAAAACTTGATATATAGATCTTAGGCTCCATCTGACCACTCATGTTTTGTTTTTATTTTTTATTCCCGCTGATCGTTCTGTGGCTCAGCAGCACACCGCCGTGCCTGTCAGACCCCCCCGCAGAACCTGAATTCTGTCTCGGTTGTCATGGTTACTCATGAAATGCCGCCTGTCGGCAGGTTTATTTATGTGCACGATATTCCTAATGATGCTTTTTGTGTCCGATTGTGGCAGAAGGCGGGTGTGTAGGAGGAGGGATGTGATCCAGAAACACCTGAGCTCATTTCTAGGACAGGTGTGGTTTATAAAGCAGGGACTGCTGCAGCTGAGCTTTACAGGTCAGATCACTAGTTTGTGCAAATTAACTTTGAGTAAGGACTCTACACAAAGTTTTATAAACGAGGCCCCTGGGGAGGAGCTCCATCACCAGGAAGGAACTTGGAGCAGAGCTGCTTCTCCTCATGCTGGTCACCAGCTTGGCTCCTCCTCCTCATGCTGGTCACCAGCTTGGCCCCTCCTCCTCATGCTGGTCACCAGCTTGGCTCCTCCTCCTCATGCTGGTCACCAGCTTGGCTCCTCCTCCTCATGCTGGTCACCAGCTTGGCTCCTCCTCCTCATGCTGGTCACCAGCTTGGCTCCTCCTCCTCGTGTTGGTCACCAGCTTGGCTCCTCCTCCTCATGCTGGTCACCAGCTTGGCTCCTCCTCCTCCTGCTGGTCACCAGCTTGGCTCCTCCTCCTCGTGCTGGTCACCAGCTTGGCTCCTCCTCCTCATGCTGGTCACCAGCTTGGCTCCTCCTCCTCCTGCTGGTCACCAGCTTGGCTCCTCCTCCTCGTGCTGGTCACCAGCTTGGCTCCTCCTCCTCATGCTGGTCACCAGCTTGGCCCCTCCTCCTCATGCTGGTCACCAGCTTGGCTCCTCCTCCTCATGCTGGTCACCAGCTTGGCCCCTCCTCCTCATGCTGGTCACCAGCTTGGCCCCTCCTCCTCATGCTGGTCACCAGCTTGGCTCCTCCTCCTCATGCTGGTCACCAGCTTGGCTCCTCCTCCTCCGTGTACTTGTGCCGAGTACTCGGAGGAGGAGGTCTTAGTTACGTCCATAAGTGACACCAGCTTGAGAATCAGCTGTCTGCTGATTGAGATGTGGCTTCATTTTCAGTGTCAGATGCTGAAGAAGAAAAAGCATCTTCATGTTGTATTCATGCTGCTGATGTGTTCTGTGTCTCCAGCTGGAACCCTCTGAGTCCTCCACGCCCACCCGTTGCTGCCCCCCCAGTGGGTGGCATGGACCCCAGAGCCAGCAGGCCGCTGCTGCAGGTCCTTGGGGAGAATGAGGCGTTGCAGCAGTTCTTCAGTGGTGAGATGAATCTTCACTTCCTGTCAGCAACTGTCAGAGAACCTGCCGAAGGTCTACGTTACTATCAGTGAGGATGTTTCTTTGTAGAGAAGGATCTAGAGAGCTTTCAGCGACTCACGTGGCCCTCTGAGTTTCAGGTTTTCTCTCTTCTGCGGTTCTCTCGGGTCTTTCAGGTTTTCAGGTTTGTTTGACCCTAATGAGGTTCCATCTCAGAGGTTCTTCATGAAGAGAGCTGGTCTAAAACCTTTATCTGATGAGGTTTGGGATGATGAAGAGGGTCAGGGTTAGGGTTGGGGTTGTTTCCTGTGCTGTTGAAGGTTTCATCTAAATAAAGCTCTGGAGACGTTCATCAGTTTCGTTGATCTGAGTCTAGAATTCTAGGAACTCTCTGATTGGTCCGGACTGGTCCGCCGGTTCTGTTGGAGATGCTGATGGTGACCAGTTTAAGTGATCCAGACAAGAATGTAGAATGAGTTATGTGCAGAGACGCAAGCCACCAAACCGCCCTATGTTAGGCCCCACCCACTTACCGCGTAGGCCTTTTTCTATTGGGTCAGTCCTCTACGCGTCACATCCTTTTACTGTGTAAAGATGTTAATGGGTTAGAGTCCGTTTGTCACTGCCTCATAGCGAGAGCTTGTCCTGATGGCTGAGAGCAGCATTCCAACGCAGTCGTCCTGCTGGTCCTTCTCCGTGCAGAAGGTCCACGGCCTCTGAAAGGTTCTGGTGTCTCCTGGATGCTACCAGTGGCTTAGATGGTTTGGAGCGAGCTTGGAAAGGTTGAAGTGGTCCTCAAAGAGTAGAGCTCCTTTAGAAGGAGTTGCATCACATTTTGAATGAAATGAGAGGATTTAGTTTAAGGGTTAAGCCTGATTCATGCTTCTCCATCTGCGTCAGTGCGTAGACACGCAACGCCATTATCCGTCCTTGCGGGCCTGCCGGAGAGCTCCGCAAGGACGGACGGAGTCAAGCTCTCTTTTCTAAACATCCGTCAGTCGAGACGGATTACGCAAGCTTGTGATTGGTCAGGACGCCGCTGTCGTTTACAGCGCCGCCATTGCAAAGATAGCCGAGGATAACTAGCGGCAGACACGAAGAAGCTTGAAGAATACCTCGCGAAAAAACTCTAAAAACATGAACGTTTAGTTCTCCCGTGACTGGAGGAGTGAAAAGATGCGCAGCAAGCGTTTTATTTGTGGACGGAAATGACAGGAAACGTGGGTTTAGAGGTGGGGAGCGCATGAAGCGGTGGGAGAATGAGAGACAAATATGTCCGTGTTTAAAGTCTCTTATACACACAAAAAACACAATATAAACACACGATCCTGGACCGATACATGACAGGATACCACAGAGCAGCGCTACGCCCTCTGCTGTCCTGCCGGGCAATTGCTTTGCAACACTCTCCAGGAGACGGAGAAGTATGAGAGCAAAACGCTTCCGTCAATCCGTGCGTGTCTGTCCCTCGTGGAGCTGACGGAGAAGCATCAACCAGGCTTAAGACTCTGTTACAGGCCACGCCCCCGTTACCAGGGCAAACAACTTCCTGTTTCCTGAGTCATGCTGGAACTGAAGTCGGCCCGAGGACCTGGGCGGGTTTAGGTGGTGCCTGTGTTTGTGTGTTTGACCTGATGAAATGACTACACGTTTGGATAAATCAGAGGTTCTCAAGCTGTGGCTCTGGGGCGATGTGTGGCCCTCCACCCCTCTGAAGGGGTTCTTTCAACTGACCAACAACAACACGGATCTGATAGTTTCTATAGAAATGGGAAACAGGTGGCAGGAGTTTTAGCAGTTTTGTCCAAATCCTTTCAACAAGCCTCAAAGCCCCTGAATCACAATGTGTTACACCCCCGTCAGCGGGAGGAACGGAGCTGACTGGCTGCTTAGGATGTCCCTGCCCACACCTGCGCCACATCACTGGTCTGAGTGGTTGCACCTGTGGGACCTTGGTGCACCTGCAGAGAGAGAGAGAGATGAAACTGATCAGAGGGCGGCCTTTTGGAGGCTGGATTTGAATAAAAACACTCCAACTGTCACCACGTGTCCAGAACTTCTCCACATGCTGCTGTCCCACGGGCCGGGACGTAACACGTGTGTGTGTGTGTGTGTGTGTGTGTGTGTGTGTGTGTGTGCGTGCGTGCGTGCGTGTGTGCGTGTGTGTGTGTGTGTGTGTGTGTGCGTGTGTGCGTGCGTGCGTGCGTGCGTGCGTGTGTGTGTAGGTCAGGATGTTGGAGGCGTGTTGGACAGCTCTGTTGCCGTGGATACGAGCGTCTTGGAGCAGTACTTGTGTAACGATATGGACCCCAGCAGCTTGTAAGCCCTAAACAGTCAAACATTTTTCTTAATAACATCATTGTACTGTTATTGTTGTTGTTGTTGTTATAACAGAGCTGAGAGGAAACAAGCTAAAACGAGATCAGAGAATATGTTTTGTGACTGAATAATAATTATAGTTTTAATATCTGACTTCCTGTTTTTTTTGGATTTTACAACCTTTATTAAAAAGCTTTTTGCTGACGAACAACCAGATAAAAACATTTATTCATGTAAAACATGTCCGTTACGTTTTACCTGGTAACTGACTTTCACTAAACCGCAGAGCTCCGTTTCTAAAACACGACTAAATCCATCCAACGTGGGTGACCCAGATCCTGTTGGTGTTGCTGCTAGGGTCGGGGTCGGGGTTAACCGTCAGTGCCGTATCCGAACCTGCTCTGTTATGTAACATCCATAAATGTGGCGCTGACTCAGGCGGTTATCAGATAAATGACTCGCGTCACGCCCTGCAGGAACAAACTCGTGTCTTTATTTTATCTTCCCAGCATGCTTCCTGAGTCCCCTCCTGATTCCAGCTCAGAGGCTTGTTCCCCTCCACAGATACCAGGTACCGCCGACCCAGATCAGTTTGCAGAACCGTGCGGTAACCTTCTCCCATTCTGACTGCAGTTTGTAGGAAAACTGAAACCTGGTGTAAGAAATGACAGAAAGTCGGTTTGATTCCAGGAACCTTGTTTAAACATCACTTATGGGTCATTTTATGATGTACACCTGCCCAGCTGCTGGTAAACACCAGGATCCAATCAGAGAGCAGCATCTACAGACAACTAAACACAATCAAGGCAACGCTCAGACTGACTGTACCTTCTCCGTTTTAGATCTCAGGCATGAGCGGACCTGCTGGACCACCTGGACGGAGGCGTTGCACCCGGAAACCCGATCTGTCTCCGGTCACTTTAGGGATCGAAGTTCCATCAGTTTAAATTTGGGTCACGTGACTCAATCCTCATCCTGTTGTTTCAAAGATCAAGGCTCCGCCCCCTCCCTCTCTGACCTAATGACCCAAGAGCCGATCGACACTTTGGGGCTCCCTTACGTCCAGTCTGGGTCTACACCCGTCCTTCACCGTCCTCTTCATCAGGACAGTCGTGGCTCACCTGAGCCTCACCTGAACCCAGAAAACTGTTTACAAGGTTACACCCCGCCCACTCCGCCTCCGTCCCTCCCTCCCTCCAGCACCTACGTTTCACCTGTTACTGGTCCCACCACGCTCCCACATCGCCCCTCACCAGCCTTAAACCGTCTCCTGGGCTGTGCCCACACTTCCACCTCCACACCACTGACCTGGTGAGCAAAAATCCTCATTTTGAATCTTCTAACTTCATGAAGAAGACGTAATGAAAACAAACACCGTTTTTACCGAGTCGTTTTAGCAGCTTTGGTCCGTTTGATCTGAGGCAGAAGCTCCACTTTGTGTTGCTGAAGAATAAACTCCAAGAAGTTTATTTTTCCTTTTGTTATTTTTTGTTTGACAAGATGTTTGCAGACACAGAGGCTTGAAGAAACGACCAGGGGCGTGTCCAGATCTTTTAAAATGGGGTGGCCCAGGTGAGGCACAACTTTGTGCATGGGTGGCACCAATGATTATGCTTTTTTTGTTTTACCCCCAAGCCTTTTGTGGACAATGAAAAGCCTATTTAAAGGTAAATTAGAGTGGTGGCGCCTGGGGTGGCCAATCAGATTCCAAGGGTGGCATGTGCTACCTCAGGCCACTCCCTGGACACACCCCTGGAAACGACCGTTTCAAAGCCTGCAGGAGCTAAGTGTTCCCTAGTCTTCCACCTTAGCTTTGCTAAGTTAAGGACAAATAAGTTGGTTAGTGATGATCGAAGTGGAGTCGTACCTCATAGTGATCTGTTCTCTGAGCTCCAGCGCCACGGAGGAGGAGCTCAGAGCAGAGTTGAGGCTTGTCCTCATCAAAAGTAGCCAGTCGAGGTGGTCTGGGTGTCTGTTAGAGACGTTCTTGACCCCTTCGATCAGCATCTTCCTTCGGACGGGAGCAGACCCAGGACTTGCTGGAGAGGTTTTTTCTCTAGATTGTTCCGGGCAACACCTTGGTGCCCCCCTGGCAGAGCTGCAGGAGCTATCTGGGAAGACGTTGGTTTGAGGATCTCTGATTACGCTCCTGCTTTAGGACCTGATCCTGGATTAGCAGCAGAAGACAGATGAAAGGATGCTTTCCGTTACAAATCTCATCACAATTTATCATGAAAGGAATCAAGAGTACAGAAAGTTACTGCAGAGAATGTAATATTTGCTCCCTGGTTCTGACTCCTTCTTTCAGCTCCCAGGAGGGGAAGAAGCGGAGGAGGTCTGAGTCCGATGACCTGTTTGAGGCTCCTGGTGGTGAAGCTGAAAGGACTTTTAATGGCAGTGTGGGGAATGCTGTAAATGGACCAGGTCTAGGATCTTCCCAAACGCTCGCATGGGAACAGTACAGACCAGAGCAGTGGAGCTCTTTGTACGACCATCACTACCAAACCCTGTGAGTCCAGTGTGGGATTTGGACGTGGTCCCTCCTGGACGAGTCTTTATAAAGTGTGCTGTTTTGTTTCAGGCCCCCTCCTGTCTGCTGTGTCCATACAGATAAAGGCTTTAACTACTCTCCGTCTGACGAGGCCTTTGTTTGCCAGAAGAAGAACCACTTTCAGGTCACCGTTCACATTGGCGTGGCTGCAGATCCACTTTTCGTCAAAACTCAGGATGGACCACAGGAAGTCGACTACCTCCACATAAAAGTGTTTGGGGTTAAGGTGCGTAAGGTGGAAGTGGTTATCGTCTTTTCTAAGAATGGACCCTAAAAGCAGCATTTATAACAACAGAACTGGGCCCAATACAGAGCCTTAAGAAACTCCACATGTAACTGGTGCTGAAGCTCACAATGACAAAATATTAATTCATGTTAACGTTTTCTATCAGTTCTAAAAAAAAACTGTACAATTCTTGTAGTTTGAAACTCCGAGCCATGAGGTGACGATCGAGCAGTCCCAACCCGACCGAAGCAAGAAACCCTTCCACCCTGTCAGGTACCAAAGTGTAGATGCTTGAAAGGTTAGCTTCCACTTCCACACCGATGAGTCCCTGTTTAATAAACAGCCGGGGTGTTTCTCAGTGTCACAGCACCTGGCCTTGCGAGGTGATGTCTTGCGAGGCAAGGCGCCTTGCTTACGAGGACACTGTCGCTCCTTGGTCAAATAAAATGGTTAAATGGAACAGACTTGCATCACGTGATCGCGGTTTCCACAGCAGTCACGTAACGTCATGTGACACGGGAGATAACGTTATATTTTATACTTATTAGTTTCAATATAAATATATAACAAGTACTTTTTAAATTGTGTATACCGGTATGTCTATTAAATTAAAAATATAAGTGAGTTACTACCCGCTAGCCACCGAAGCTGCAACTACTAAGCTACTAACCAACCACAGATAACTTCTTTGGATCTAAAAAAAAAAACATTTTAAATTAGATGACTTACTTTTAAACTTGAAAATTGTCCCCGAAGTAGCTGCTGGCTTCTGATCCACCGTCTTTTTGAAAATACTGCGGTGTATTGTGGGTAATTTTTGACCAAGGCTAGGCTGCAAGACACCTCCCATGTATCCTTGCTCAGCTAGCTAAACGGCTAACAAACGGAGAACACACGCCTCTGTAGAACATGAACATTGGAACACGCCTTGGCGGCTCCTGATGACGTATCTCCTAGGCAACCGGGGCGGGGCCAAGACATCAAGGCGAGGTTCCTTGGCATTGAGACACACCTCCTGTGTTTGTACAGCACCTTCTTGGGGTTCAATTCAATTCAATTCAAGTTTATTTATATAGCGCCAAATCACGACAAGAGTCGTCTCAAGGCACTTCACATAATAAACATTCCAATTCACAGTTCATTAAGCCAATCAGAAATAATGTTTCCTATATAAGGAACCCAGCAAATTGCATCAAGTCACTGACTAGTGTCAGTGACTATACAGCAATTCTCATACTAAGCAAGCATGCAGCGACAGTGGAGAGGAAAACTCCCTTTTAACAGGAAGAAACCTCCAGAGAATCCTGGCTCAGTATAAGCAGCCATCCTCCACGACTCACTGGGGATGGAGAAGACAGAGCAGACACACACACACACACACACACACACACACACACACACACACACACACACACACACACACACACACACACACACACACACACACACACACAGGTTACATTGTGATGTCTTAGTAAATATTGTATTTGGTGAAAGATAAACTTTATTGTATTTATCCTAGTGGATCTATAATTAAACGGGTAAACTAGTAGTAGCACATCCAACGTCAAGGAAAGCAAAAAGTTATTATCAGGAGAGGGAGAATGTTTAAGTGGTTAGCAGCAGTGTGCTAGTCGATGGCCCCCTCCATGAGGCCACCACAGCTCAGCAGAACATTGTTGTAGCTTCTTCTGGGGAGAAAAACACTTAGAGAGAAAATAAAGTTAACAGCTGAAATTGCACAAAATAGTACAGTTAAAGAGCAGACTGTAGAAGAAAGCAGTAGAGTGTGAAAAGTGGTCAGTGTGTCCTCCAGCAGTCTAAGCCTATAGCAGCATAACTACAGAGTTAACTCTGGATAATCTATCCTATTTAGATGTAGGCATGTTGGAGGCAGGGCAAGGGAGAGTCGTCTTTACCGACTGTACACTCCACCTCCCTCTACTCCCCCACTTGTCCAGATTTAGGCTAACATCAGATTTTAACCATAGGCCCTATCAAATAAAAATGTTTTAAGCCTATTCTTAAAAGTAGACAAAGTGTCTGCCTCACGGACTAAAGCTGGGAGCTGGTTCCACAGGAGAGGAGCCTGATAACTAAAAGATCTGCCTCCCATCCTAAGTTTAGATATTCTTGGAACCACCAGTAGACCTGCAGTCTGAGAGCGAAGTGCTCGGTTAGGAACGTATGGAACAATCAGATTACTGATGTATGATGGAGTTTGATTATTAAGAGCTTTATATGTGAGAAGGAGGATCTTAAAATCTATTCTGAATTTAACAGGTAGCCAATGTAGGGAAGCTAAGACAGGAGAGATATGATCTCTCTTTTTAATTCTCATCAGAACTCTAGCTGCAGCATTTTGGACAAGCTGAAGACTTTTAACTACATTCTGTGGACTTCCTGAGAGTAATGAATTACAGTAATCCAGTCTTGATGTAATAAATGCATGAACTAGTTTTTCAGCATCACTCCTGGAAAGGATGCTTCTAATCTTAGCAATATTCCGAAGGTGGAAAAAGGAAATCCTACAAACCAGTTTAACCTGGGATTTGAATGACATGTCCTGGTCAAAGATAACACCAAGGTTCCTTGCTTTGTTCTCGGAGATTAATGTAATGCCATTCAGGTCAGGCGATTGGCTAAGCAATTTCCTTTTCTGGATTTCTGGTCCAAAGATGAGAACTTCCGTCTTGTCTTGATTTAAAAGCAAGAAGTTAAGAGTCATCCAATTTTTTATATCCTCAAGACAAGCCTGTAATCTACCCAACCGATTAGGTTCATCAGGGTTAATGGATAAATATAACTGAGTATCGTCAGCATAACAGTGGAAGTTTATCCCATGCTGTCTAATGATTTTACCAATTGGGAGCATATATATAGTAAAAAGAATTGGTCCAAGCACTGAACCCTGTGGTACTCTGCAAGTAACCCTGGAGTATGAAGAAGATTTGTCATGTACATTTACAAAATGAAATCTGTCAGACAGGTAGGATTTAAGCCAGCCTAGCGCTGTTCCTTTGATCCCTACAACATGTTCAAGTCTTTCTAAAAGAACATTGTGATCAACTGTGTCAAAGGCAGCACTGAGATCTAACAAGACTAGAACAGACACAAGATTCTTATCTGAGGCCATGAGAATATCATTTGTAACTCTCACTAATGCAGTTTCAGTGCTGTGATACTCTCTAAAACCAGACTGAAATTCCTCAGAGTTCTACTTGGAGACACTGTGTGGCTTTTCCACTCGTAGCGTTCACCTTCCATGCAGAGCAAATCTAACGAGTCATGTGCTCACACTCTACGACCCAGTTCTTGGATGCGACCCGACTACTCCCACTGTACAGCTGGTAGCAACATGTCGGACCTAGTGTAACGATTAAATTTACATTTTATTTAATGAACCATAAAATGTGAGATTCCATAGTGTAAATGAAATCAATCTTATGGACCTGTGGATGACTTAAACCAGAAGATTGGAACTTTTTATTGCAGGGATTATGTAACCACTTCCTATTAACTCAGAGACAAAAGAAAGAGAGTCAAGTTTTTTTTCAAAAAGTATATTTTATTAAATTTTCCGTTTACTGTACACCTTTTACACAGTATTATGTTGTATATTGAAAGTACATTCTGTATAAAATCATCTTGGAACAACAGAACAATAGAACAATTTAACAATTTTGGTTGTGCTTCGGCTTCTGGCGATCCTCTCCAACGTAAGAGCATATATAGTATTGAAGGCAATATTCACATAGACATGTTTAACAAAACTTTGAGCAAGAAGTCCCCGAATTACACCTTACTTTTGCTTCTCCCATTCCAGTCTTAATGCTGGTCAGAAGACCGAGTATTTTCCTATACTCTCCCACTTTATAAGTCCTCAGATTTTTATATCCATCTTCTTAATATATGTTAGAAAAGGTGTCCATATTTTGTCAAATAAATGTTGCTTGGCTTTTAAGATATAGGTAATACGTTCCAGCGGCATTACCTATATCTGTGCTATACCTCATTGAATGACTGGCGACCTGTAGCCCTGACCCCCATCGTGAGCAAACACATACCAACCACTGTATATTTTATATCTCTTATCTTATTGTTTACTTTATTCATTTGTAAAACATGTATATACACACTATACACACACACTCACACGCACACACGTAGAAAAAAAATACTAGCACACACATTTAGTAATGTATGTACCTTACATACTATACATATTATTACTTAGATTAGCCATTTATATATTTTGCTTGTTTTTACGTTACTGTATTTTTGCACAACTCTGTTGCAGTGAAGCTCGCACACAAGAATTTCACTCGCATGTACTGTACCAGTGTACCTGCACATGTGACGTGACAATAAAAGTGATTTGATTTGATTTGATTTGACCTGTAACATCTGTTTCATCCAATCATTCACTGTGGGCCTATGGAGCGATTTCCATGCCATAGCTATACACTTTTTTGCTACCATTAAACTAAGATCCAAAAAGACACGCTGACATTTGCTATAAGCAAATTCCTTAGGGCAAAGTCATATTAGAAACAGTTTAGCATCCAATGGTACCTCCTTTTTGATGATTTTTTTCAGTAGAAATTCTTACTTCCTCCCAGAACTTTTTGATTTCTGTACACTCCCAAACACAATGATACAACGTCCCTTTATGAACAGCACATTTAACACATGTATTGGTTTATTGTATTTCTTCAGTCTCTCTGGGGTGACATATGTCCGCATTAAATATTTATGCTGAATTAATCTTAACCTTGCATTGATGAACTTGATATGAGCTCCTCCACAGGCCTTCTCCCAGTCCTCTTTACTCAGTTCTTGCCTGAGGTCGTCTTGCCATGCTGCTCTTCTATCGTTCGCTCCGTCTGAATGATGTTCCACGATTATCCGATAGCAGTCCGAGACTATTCCTCTTCGTGTGAAGTCCTTTGTCATCATTTCTTCCAGGATGGTGATGGAGGGTTTGGAGCCCCCATTTTTTTTGCTTAGATTTTAGAAAACTTCTGAGCTGGAGGTACTTAAAAAAATATTTCCTTTCTATTCCATATTTAGCCCTTAGCTGCTCAAAGAACATCAAATGATCAGCATTTTGCAAATATAAGTCCTTAACTGATTTAATTCCCTGTAAATACCAGCTTTTAAACACGGCATCAGCTCTTCCTGGTGTAAATTGCTGGTTACCCCATATGGGACTGAAACAAGACAATTCTTGTTCTTCTTTAAGATGCTTTTTCACTGAGAACCAAACTTTT